CGACGACAGAGGCGTCGTCGTCTTGGCAAGGTATCTACCACCGTCGCGAACTATCGTTTCCCTTCTTCCTTCGAACAGTTCTATCTGAATTTTTAAATTAATCCGTAGGAAATAAATATTTTCTCTGGATTAATACCGTTCAACGAATCAGCAGATTTACAATAAAATTTCCATAGTGTTACAGAATTATCGAATTATAACAGAAATTAAACGAGATCCAATAATAAGCAAACAAAGATGATAAGGGATTAGATGAGAGTCTCGCGCTGTGTTTGCATTTATTTCCCAGTCTGACGTTCTTATCTTCAACGTGCAATTTTTATCTTCTAAATTACTTTTCTCAATGGTATTTTGCAAACGATACGACATCATTACGATATACCGTATAAATATCACGCGATAGTCTCTCGAGCAATTTTTTTTTCAAATCAATCTTACGTCCAATAAAAGAGAAAAAACACGGAAAGCCGAAATTAGATTTCTCATCCTTTCCTAAAAATCTTCTCATTACCCAATATATTCTTAAAAAGCACAAATGTCGATAAAAAATTTACAACTTGATATAAATTTTTATCTTTGCGATGCTGTATCGCAGTATTTATTGAGCGATAGCTTAAAATGTTATCTAATTAATAATTGATAATCAGACAAATTCTCGAATTATAAAAAACCACGAATGTTTGAGATCTAGGATTGAATAACCGGTTCAAAGAAATTTCTACTTACATGACAGTTTGAAATATTATTCAATTAATAGATCGATAATCAAACAAATTGTCGATCATGAAAATAACGAATATCTGTGTTCTGAGATTAAATAATCGGACTGGCAGAAACGTTAGGCAAACAGTTTCGTACGTTATTTAGCTAATAATCGATAATCGAGGAAATCGCTAATCGTTCGAATTCCAGACGCCTGTATTTTAGAATCGAAGAACGAATTTAAAGGAATTCGTAACTAATAAGAATTGTTATTTCTCGTTGCAGATGCTAGAGAAGACATCGGGCGTGAAATCGGGTGCGCCATTGAAAAAAGGGGTAGAAACGGAGACAAAAACAACGACCCGTGAGGCGCCATTTTGAAGCACCTCTTTCATCTTAGCATCGAACTCTCTGTGTTCTAACTTCTTTCCTCCTTCGTTCGTGCACCCGTCGAGACAGTCGAAGAGACCACGAACTCGAAACAATCGTAACAAACAAAGAGAGCTAAACGAGCAAAAGGAAGAAAAGCGCGAGAGGGAACAAAATATCTAAGGAAGATGAGGCCAATGGACAAGAAAGCGTGAGGAAGCTGATCCAAGAGGACAGAGGCGGACGAAAGAGAGCGTGCAGTCAGTAAGATGTCTAGTCCCATAAAATAGTGAGAAATTGGTCATTGTATTTTCTGGAGTTGCGAAGGAAAAGAGATCAGAGACGAGTAAAAGTAAGTCGTTCGATCGTCCTCCCTTCGAATCTACGGCGCGAATGGTCGACTTGGAAATTTACAATCTGATCTACTCTGCAATTTTTAACATATTAGTCGAGTAAAATTATCCAAATGGATAAAAAACAGGAAACAAAAAATATAAAAGATGAAGAAATGATACAAAAGATGGAAATAAGATGGTCAATTTTCGTGGATTTCTCGTACATGGGCCATCGCATCGCTTGAAAAACGACGCTCGATGTCTCTGGAAGCACTGCTCGTGACGCGGAGTATCCACATTCACGAGTAATCGCGGCTGAATCCGAAAAAATGGAGAAGCTATACGTATGTAATAAATTGGGAAAACCGATCCGGGCCATCAGTCGCGCGCGATCTCCTAGAGAAAGACTTAAATCCAGTGTTGTAACACGTCTAACCTAACCCTATACGATAAGTGTATGTATATATATTTTTTTGCTCGATTTTTTCGTTTTATTTTATTTTATTATTATTATTATTATTATTTGTCTTCGTGTCTTTCTCTCTCTTTTTTTTTAACGAGACGCATACACACACATACACAGAAATGTACATACGAGAGATAAGTTTAGTCGGACTCGTTCGCGATTCTTTCTTTATTTTTTTTTTTTTTTTCTTTTATTTTGTTTCTCCGTTTCGTTGCTCTCGTTAAGTTGCCGGTCACTTTCAGCTCCCTTGTCGAACAATGATCTCACTAGTATTAGAGCTAAGGAATTCTACATTTAATAAATTAGTGCTGAACGAACTAGTCACTAAGGACGATGGTAAGAAATACCGAGCAACCGAGAGGCAGACGAAATATGCGAGGCGATCGGAATTTTCTCGGAGAACAAAGTCAGAATCGCGATTCCTTTTTGGATGATGAGGTTTAGGTGGAAAATTTCTCGCTTCGTCTTTATTTGCGTGTCATTTTGAATAGAAGGAAGTCAATCTGGCCTTTAATATCCCTATCGCGTTTAATCAATTTTACGTGATTTAATCGTATCCTTAAATTTTAATGCAGATGTTTCTTTTTTTGGTTTTGTTGATCGAGATAAAGTTTTAAGATTTTGACGAATTTCCATTATTATCTGATACGATAGGAGGGTTAAACGAATCACAAGAATAATGGAATAAGTTTGGTAATAAAACAAATGAAATCTTACAATTTACGTATCCTATGATTATCCTATTCGATTCAATTCACTAACATCATTAACTAGTAAATTATTGCGAATAAGAACATGCGATAGCGCGGTATCTTTCGCAAATCAAAGAATTCGCTTCTATAGAATGGAGCTTAGATTCTGCGTGACTCTGCGCCATTCGACAATTTCCAAAATCTTACAATTTAAATACCGTAACACGCAATTACCGCTTAACTTCACGAACAGTGGAACCAATTTTCCAATAAAATCGGTCAGATTGACTTCTGAATAGTTCGAATCGCTTAATACAATTATGTAAAGGAGCAAGAGGAAAGCTCTCTGAATTTTTCAGCCTGGACAGCGTTAATTCTTGTTCTGCATGAAAAGAAGAGAAACAGTTCCACAGCATTGGAATTATTTCGAGGCAAAATCGAACGATTTAAAAATTTGTTTAAACTGTCGAGTTTTACGAAATATCATTGCGCGAATATTGCGATCCGGCAAGAACAAACTCGATAAGATGAAAGAAGAAAGTGAAAGAGAAATGCAATTGTGTATTGCGAATTGAAAGACGAGTAAATAGGTATGTAGATATAAATAAACGGATATATATGCGATAGAAAATAGCCGTGTCGTTTAACAACGTTCAATTTTGCCTCCGTACTGTATAGTGAGATACTCGAGGCACGCTCGAACGGTGCATAATAATTCGAGGGTCGCGAACCACCAGATGTGTTTGACGTCATTCGCCACTAGTTTTCAGTTGTATTAGTTAATTTATTTAATTCGACTCTCGACTCTGAACGCTCGAGTGTGCCATTTCAAATTCTACTGTTTCAAGAGTATACCTAACGGGTAGCGTATACGGACTTAGCGAAGTATCGAAAGAAGTATAGCGAAACGTTTGAAAAATTCTATAGTTTTAATTATTTGTGTCTCTATTTTTTAATAAAAAATAGAAAAATGTGAATAATTATTATTATGGAATATATATATATTTTTTAATATTAGGTGTGTAAATTAATTCGGTGTATCTAGATTTAATAACTTTTTATAGGTAATTATTTTAAATTTAAATATTTTCCTATCTTGTAAATCTCTTATAAATGTATAAATATCCTTTAAAGGAGCATCGTTCGTAACTTTGCCCGACAATCTTGAATATAGATTAGAAGATTAAAAATTGACATAGAAATTATTTTAACGATGAAATTAGTATTATATTCCTAAATAAAGCATTCAATAAACTTTCGTCAATATTTCATCGATTTAATTTACACGCCTATGTATTAAAACGCATGAAATGCGAATAAGTTTTCTTAAATAATAAAAGTCCAGATGTAACATATAAAGCATTGATAAGTTTAGTGTAAAAATATTAGAAAATTCATTATACTTCTTCCACCAAGTATTCGTAAATATCATTTCACAAGCGCATTTATGTACATAGTTTCTCATTTTCTCGTCACTCATGTTCAACCACTGTAAATAAATCGTACATTCGCCACGGGTCCTGTATAACGAGAAACGATTTAAATATTTATATCAATCGAATAGTTACTTGTTCGCAATCTCATTCCTCCTTCCTGTTCTGTCACGTCTATCATAGAAGATTGCGATTCATACGAGACACGTGGCGAGTTCTTGCGTAACCGGCTTGCAGATAGCGATGGGATCGATTTTCGCGTGCTGTCAGAACATATTCATGGAGATTGTTGTCCAGTTCTATCTGCTAGAATTTGCATAAAAAATACACGAACGCTTAAACTGACACATTTTTGTTCGATTTTTTTTTACCCTTCGAGATTTTTCATTACTCATTTTACCCATTCATTTTACCTTTTCTCCTGTTCCAAAATATTTGACGATTATAATATTTACAATGAACAGAACGATGTATCTCATTCTTGCGATCTTTTAATTCGTACTCTTTCGAATCTTTAATCAAAATCCGAGGGTGCAAATCCAAAATTCGATTTGAAAACGTGGTTTCATGGTTGATAGTTTGATATCCTTCTCTTAAATATCTACAACTGGAAAAATTATTTCTAAGATTTGATGTTTCCTGGCTTTTGCATCGCACAAAGGGCGAAGAGGCTCCCTCGATGATAGATAATCCGATATAATTTTCAAGTAGGTGAAATTGGAAGGAAACGCGATACCTTTACCTGACGCTAGAACTATCAGAATGGTCAAAGTGAGAAATTTATAATTCTTCGTAGAAATTTTATACATTCCGACGATTTGAACGATTCTTTTGCAAAATATATGAATAAAAGCTTATCTTGTCCCTTGCATTATAATTTCATCGTATGCTATCCATTTTGATTTTTTCTTTTTTTTATTACAAATTTGTTGTACTTCATCTTTTATCAGTATTTCCAGTATGGAGTCATAATACGTTTGAAAATCTCGAAACCTATAATTTCTACGATGTTTGTTACGCAAAAATTGAAGAAAGTGGTTTTACAGTAGATAACGTTAATTAATAAATACCTTTAACGTAATATATTTGATAAAAAATAATTAGCTTTTATACAGCCCATCGCCTAATTTTGAAAAACCTAGTGGAAATTAATAGATTTCAAAGGGAACGTTCGCCAAGTGTCTTTTGTAGAAGAATTATTGTTTCTGAGAATGTATTTTGGCGCATCTTGTGGCAGATTGAACCATTAACAGGTCACGTTGATGCCAACGTGTCGAACACGCTAGTCGCGCACAAAGAGCGTGAACGAGCACAGCATCCTCGTTCTCTGGCCAGTAGAAAGATGTTCGAGAATTCGGTCTTTATTAGGCGATCTCGTGACAGATAACTCGCGGCACTCTGTGGTGCTTCTTTAAAATCAGAAATCGCTCTTGTTAGCACGCTTGTAGTTAAGAATTATTATCCACTTGTTACTCGAATCTGTAATATCTACTTTGGCCGAGAAATACGAATTCCTATAAAATAAGGAGAAAATCCTGGAATTCCTAGAATTTAATAGTCGTCGATCGTGTTCGTTCCCTAACAGAGATCAACGCTATAAAGACAAGATATTAGGCATTTAAAAAAATTGAATCTTCGTGAAATATTAATATCGCATAAACTTTTTATACAAAGGAATCGTGGTTTGGTTTGAAGTTATTGAAAATGTATCGATTGGATCAAAGAGCGACTTTGAGGAAAAGAGGAAACTTTCACATACAGATTCGCTCAAAAGTTACAAGACTATAGATATTTGTGTATTTATAGAAAATGTAAGCAAAGGATCGAAGATGCACCGAAAGAATTTTTCAATTAGTTCACGATAGAAATATCACGTTAGAAGTCGAAAAGACCGAGAAAGTATTTTCATCGGTTCGATAATAAGAGAGCTTGAAAAGATTTGCAGAAACGTTAAAAATCCAATATTCTTCAAATTGCACGGCATAAGTTCCGAGAATATAGCATACTGTACACGCTCTCCTCTCTATAAAACCAGAATTTATAAAACCATAACCTTCAACAAGCAAAGGCGGTATTAATTATTACGACGTGTATAACGGCCGTTTCGAGGAGTACTGTACAGATCCAAAAATACGGTCTTTGAAAGCGCGCGAGACCACACGACACGCGTCGTTCTAGGCGCAGAAATAAACTTTACGACTACTCGCAAAATCTGTTTCTCCGCGACGTAGGGATATAAAAGAAAAAGAACAAAAGGAACGACGTCTTAGACGAATGACAGAAGTGAAAGAAACTTTTATTATCCGAAAGATTTACGTTTGCTGTATGTTCGTTTCGATCCCATCACTACCTGCACGATGCCCATTATTCCGGCAGCTATTAACCGCTGCACACGGTTCGCTTGTAAATTGGATGATAGTAGCAAACCCACTACGGGACATCGTTTCTCTCTCGCAATCCTCCGTGCGAGTGCACTTTCGGCCACAAGCACAGCGTGGAATGCAGTCGACAAAAAACGAAATAAACATTGTTCGATCTTGATCTTATTAGTCGATGAATATCATCTGTCTTTGAGTAAATAATACGTAAGTAAATAATAAATGTGAGCAACAATTCCCTCAATGATCGATAGAGGATTAGTAAGAATCATCAGGTACATCAGAATCTATCACTCGATAGTTTTATTTTCGTTTGTCAATTCTCGTTAAATAGAAAGACGCGTATAATTTTAATTTCCAATTAAAAAATCCACTTCCCTTCTTTAAAGAATAAAAAAAGAGATGGTCCAAACCGCGACTGTAATTTTTATCGTTCCGTGTCAACAAGACTGTATTACAGTTGTATTACATCGCTTGTATTACATCGCTAAGTTTTGTTCTGCTACAAACGCTTGTTACGCTGTATGTTGTTAATTTTTTTCATGAAATTCATTCGTAGCCGCGACCTGATCGAAGAGTGAATTTCTGACGCCTATCCTAAGAAAATTTTAAAAGTAACACAAACATTCTGTTCTTTGTGAAACGCCAGCACGATATCTGACTGAACGGAAGGGAAACAAAATGATTTCTGCGTGATACTTACGAAAGAACGGTAAGATTGTTCCTGGCATCGGCGCTATTTACTTAAACGTCAAACTACAAACGCGTGTAGTTTAGACAAGGAGGTAGCCATTCAAGACATCTCAACTGAGCCAGAGAGCAGAGAAAACACCTCGGATCCCCTGATATCGAGTTTCGGGAAAGCTGCACATTGTATCCATCTTTTGATCTTTGCCCTCGATCCTCGTTGAAATGTCGCACTACGAAACGTCAGAATGTGGCCTGCTAACATGCGAAAGTGGCCTCAGGACGTGCGAACCTGTTCTCCGAACGTTGCCCGCCAATGCGACCTCCGAACGCGCGTATCTAGTGTGCGAACATGATCTGTGAACATGGCCTACGAACCGGGTCCGCCGACGTGGCCTGCGAGCGTGCGAATGTGACTTGCGAACGTGCCAACATGCATACCTAATCTGCGAACATGGCCTGCGAACATGGCCTGCGAACCTGATCCGCGAACGTGGTCTACCTGCGTGCGAGTACGACCTGCGAACGTTGCCAGTGAATTTTTATCTTTGTTCTCGATCGTCATTGGAATGTCGCGTTCTGCTAAGTATCTGCGAATGGAGTGCATACATGGCGAATCTCGAAACGCGCCCGATCGTTTAATTTTTCATCCAGAATCTCTTGCTTTCATAAAGAATTCGTCCTCGGATCATTTCATTGATTAATTCGAACGTACAGATTTTTGGTCGCGAAATTGACAAGTCAAATTTTGTATTAGCCTCGTACACACGCATTGTACATACATGGGCGATGATGTATTAATTTTGTTTAAATGTAATGATTATTTGTAAGTCGTAAGTGGTGTTCTATTATTCGAATGGAGATAAGGAGAGTATGAATCAATGCTAGAGTGTCTCAACCCTTGAGATTAATGGGATATGTCTGAAGGCAATTTTCGTAAGGAACGCTGAGAGCGAAATTTGTCGTTCAATTTTATTATCCGTGTAAATGATTAGCGTGCAACTGCCCGAAAGAGCTTGGATTGTCACTAAACTGTGGATTTGTGTGCAAATGAATATTTTTATGAACGTAGTTTCCAAAATGGAAAAAATAGAAAATTGAAAATCACGACTTAACAAATGGTTCTCACAAGTTCGATTATAAACTCCCAAATATCGCAGAGTAATTTTCTTTACAAATTCACCAGTGTGTTTGCAAAGGTTAATTGCATTCTTTTTAAATGCAATTCAACGTTTATTCGATATTTATTTGTAAATATGGAGCGTGTATTTATTAAATGCAAATGAAACCTGCCTTTTAGCGAAAAGTGATAACTATTCGTATTTATATTTCGATGTCGTAATACCGTAATGCGTCTCGAGGTAAAATTATGTTATGTCTTAAAAAGTTTGAGTATTTTGCTTACTTCAGCAAGAGAATAAGTACGTAGGATGATCCGCATTGTTGCGATATTCCAGTTGCGTTTTTACGACAAAATATTTCAAACAAGAGCTCAATTTATAATGTAAACGTGAAAGCGTTACGATGCAAATAAATGAAATATGTTTTCGAAATTTCAACTATGGTAATTCATTTTTCATTCGAAATTAATAAATTTTGTCTCAGAAGTTTCGTTATTGAACTATCAAAAACAGCCTAAACATTGTGGCGATCTACAAATAAATTACTGTAAATTGTATAAATAAATTTTTGCTTCCAGTTAATTAGTCGAGGAATCTAAAAGCTTCTAAAGTATTAACATTTGTGAATAATAAACGAAAATGAATAATACGATGGATAAATGAATAATAAACGATAATATAAAGAGAATGTATGTTGATAATAATTCAATAATAATATACGAATAATAAATACTGATAACAATAAATAATAATGGATGATAATAAATCAATAATGAACGCTCTTATCCGTAGGAACGCGTTACTTCAATTGCAATCATCCAAAACTCGAATGGCGTCATAATTAATACGTAATAATAATTCCATCTACCCATTCTTGACCTCAATAACATTTTTAGTGACGATAAAATGATAAACCGAACGCAAAATCCAACTATCCAATTAAAACAAACCCGATTGCAAAGTCGGTCTGGCGACACGTTCAAGCTGATAACTTTCTCGTTAAAAGTACGAAGGATCGTGGTTAATATATGGAGTAACCGAAAGACCGGCGAATCGACGATCTCGCGTTCTCGATCCGAGGAAACAGCTGTTTTGCTATTTGTTGGAATTTAGTCGAAACGGTATCATTGGTAGACATGTGTCAGATTCGAGTGGCGTTATTCACGACGATGTTGCTGGCAATAGTCGAGATCTCGATAGCCAACACGATAAGCCGACAGTCCTTACAGTGTAAAAACGTCGCCAGGGATGCGATTATGAATAGCTGCAAGGGAGAAAGGATAAAACGATCCATGGAGAATGTCCAGCTAATACTTCGTTATCTACGTAATGGTAATGTTCCACGCGGTTGTTTATATTTATATCGGTAGGAATTTTTTAATTTTCTATCAATACAAATCTTTGAATGTTCAATTTTAAATATCGAAATTTGAGTATTTAAAGCGAGTTGAAAATTATTTCTTTTCTCATGCAACAATGTATAGTGTATATGTATTTTCTTCGTAATACTTTACCAGATCAGGAATGTAAAAGATTAATGAAGCGAAAATCGATTTCCTTTACAGAGAATGTGGAAGTTTCACGGCGTCCAGAAGATCTGCTCGGCTTCAGCTTAAGCTCCGACGAATTGGAAGAACTTCTGGACGAAATCGGCTACAGAATGCCCAGAAGTTCGAAGGATCGGAGCAGGCAGATCTTCCAAAGCGTTGCCATGAAATGCTGCCCGAATCCGAAATTATGCTACGATAATCCAGGAATAATTCCTTGCATGGGATATTAATGACAACCTTGCAGTTCATTATTTAACTTTTTTAGAGTTTAGTAATGAATCGCGAGATTATCATTGATATGCCATGCGAGAAACTTTAGTAATTTTAATAATTTTAGTACGAAAGAAAGTTTAGTCATTTTTGAACAGAAAATCTGAATGACGACTGTTATACGATCGATCGTACTTAAATTTTCAGCTGTGCGTTGAGAATCTTTGAGAAAATAAAGTACTTATTCGCTAAGAATAGTTGTGCTTTGTCTAAAGATTTTGCTCACTTTGTTCGAGTCAATATAAATTGTATTTAATTGGAATTTTATATTCGCATAACAGAGCAAGGTAGAATTTTGAAGAACGAATGGTTAACCGAGATAATTGCCGGCTTAATACAATTTCTTATCATTACGTCATTAAAAAACGTAAGAAATTCGAACATATATGTATATAAGTAATCGTACACTTCTTGATCACGTATTACAGTGTTTAACTCTGTAGGAATTTGGACAAATTGATCGACCTTTATCGTCGATTTATCTTTTCACAAATTTCTCAATCTCGCTGTCAGCGTCGAACTTCTTAAAAGGTAAACCGATTTATTTCCACAAGTTTATTCATTGCGAGAAAATGGTGTAAATACGGCGAAACTGCATCTATCTGAAGGTAAACCGTAAAATCGTAGCCAATAGGAAGAATCGATTATTATTATAGAAACTATCATCTGAACTACTAGTCTTTCTATAGATGCAATCAAATAAAATTGCAAGAAAAGCTGGACGAAAGTAACGTTTACGACATTCCCTCTCCTCTACATTTCAATTTACAGAGTTAATTGAAATTGCTTCAGGGGCATTAAATTATATGCATAGACCGTAAAACGACGAACGAAATACCAATTACCAGAGGAAACTGAATCGCTCGAAACGGGACAATAGCTCGTTCAACTATAGAAAATGATTCGGGCGATCGAAACAACAAAGGAGACGCCGACAGCGTGACGAACGCGAAGCTCTTTGTGGCAATAATGAGTGATATTCCCGACGATCGGGCTGAAACTCCGTGAAACTACGCCAATAAGAGATAAAAAAGGACGGTGCCGATTATGGCGGAGAGATGGTCAGAACGAGTTAAACGCGTGTCTGACCCCCTTCGTGCGTGCAACGCCCGGTGCAATAGAAGTTAATCGAAAAAAGTAGGTAAGACAGAGACGAGAAGCAATTGAGGATCGGCTCCGGCGTCACGTCGAGACGCTTGCAATTAGCCGGCGCGCGCGCGATCTAGCCGCCAATTTCGTCTGACGCCATAAAACCGCTTCATCGAGCTGGAATCTCGAAAAATTAACAGCGACCACCAATGGGAATTTCTCTAATCGTGTCTAACGAGATCGATTGCTTTTCGCTGATTAATGGTTTATATTAGATTGTTCCAAAACATTCTTTCGTTTTATAAGCAAATAATAGATGCATTTTTGCATGCGTTTTATCCATTTTTTGTTATGCACCTATTATTTCCTTATAAAACGAAAGAAACTTTTGAGACAACCTAATATCTACGCTGACTCGCAGAAATATTATGTAAATTGTCAACATTTGCCATAGAAAATTTGTATGGCTACATGTAAATGTATTATATAAGATATTTTATTGGTACCTGAAACGATGTGTGACATATGATACAGAATAACGTAACAATATAATATAAAATTATGTAATATTTAGAGTATTATGAAGTTTCATTAATGTAATGATTTCATTGAATATTGATGTTTATTGATGTAATGAATAATTGAAAAAAGTTTGCTTCATATTACACAATTTGCTGTTACGGATGTGTACTTTTAATCCGTATTGAAGATATTAGCCTGTTTCTATATAGATCATAATCCGATTACGATTGGAATTCGCCCGAGTATTTGTTTTTATTCTTTCGATAACGAAACCAGGTACTCTTATTACAATAAGGTTTGATTGATTTTTCTAAACCTATTAGAAGCTTTTGTACTTATAATTCTTTCAATTTGATGCTTTTTCTTAATCTCTTCAACATCACAAAAATAATATTCGCAGCAAAATGCAAAGAAAACATAAAACGAAACTGGTTTCACATATGTTAAATGGAAAATTTTTAAAGATATATGTCATCCTCAATAAAATTCTACATGGATGTTTATTATTCAAAGAGAAAAATACGCCTGTCAATCATAGAGATCTGATCACGTATACATATATGGTAATGTGTCATATGGTCATCTTGTTTATCAATGAAAAATGCTGTAATTATTCGAAACGCAACATAATTATTTTTTAATATTCTATATAAGTGATAACGCGATTATGCAATAGCCCCGAGCGATTCTATTTGCAACAAAATGACTCGAATACCATGAAGCAACATAATATCCATTTTTCTTACAAGAATTAGATCGCTAAATTATTGTTTCATTTTTATTCTCTTTAATAGTGGAATTGTTTAAAGTATTTTTATCGCGTGTAATACTTCGTTGGTGAAGTTCGCGAACGGGTTATTCGCTTATTTGAACGCAGTTGCAATCTATTTAGTTCAGTTTGTTTTCTAGGTCAGTAGTGCTCCACTTGAGGCAGTTCGCTAATCGAGATGGTTTATCTTTGAAGGAAATAAATTAATAATATTTAGTAACAATGTATCTCGTTCGATTAATAGGTTAAACGCTTTATTTAGTAAGTATACGCTTTACTTCTTATTTTTTTCTTCTGTACTTTCATTTCGGAATTATTTGTGGGAACAATTTTAATTGTACATTTTTTTTACGAATCTTTGCGTGAAGAGTAAACAAAAACAAGATGCAAGTGAATACCTGCTTATTAACAGAATTGTAATTTAATCAGGTAGTTCGATTAATTATGCAAGTTAAGAAATTTTCAAAAAACATTTAAATGTTTGTAATTTGTAATACATTTATTATTGGATATTTAAATTTATTATTAGATCTTTAGCAAAATTTCGACTCGTACGAATTTAAAACACACATTTTTAAATGTGCCTTGACAATATTAATAATTAAATTAACATACACTTTACTTTCATATTCATCTAAAACAATCGTCTCATTAAAATTAATTACAATTGAGAAAATGACGTGTTTAAATATTTTCTGTGATCAGTGACATTTAATAATTTTTTAAGAAGTACTAACAATTCAATATTACGTAAGTATAAACATTCTTTACCGTGTGATTTACATACAGATTTTATAGAAACATTTCTTCGTACATTTGCGTTAAAGCATGATCGTTCGTTGTTTTAAACTCGAAGTATTATAGAATTAAAGAAGAAAGAATGACAGTAAATCTTATATTTGCACAAAAACAAGATATAAAGAATATTTTAGGAAAGAAATAAAATGACGAATTCAAAAATATGTGATCTACGTGGAAAGCGTAGACCGTGGCGCTATCTATTCCTAATCCGAATAGTCCCCTTGTGCAGGGGTTTGACACGTATGCTGTTTTCGTTGTTTCGAGATTCGTATAAATGTCAGTTGACCAATTGAAAGATATTGTTGCTTTTTGTTACCGCACGATTTTCTTTTGATCAGGTATGTCAAGCTCAATAAACGCAATCTATAGTATCGTCTTCAATATGGCAAAGTAGAGGTATAGTGGAGGGCAACCTAACCTCACTTTCAACGTATTTTTCGAATAATATATCACACGATCATTTTGATTATTCAGTCGCAAATTATACACAGATTTCTTAATTTGCAGGTCGTAGAAGAAAAAGTTTTCCGACATAGTGTAAAGTAACCGCAAAAATGAGTACTATTGTCGAACAACCTTGCTATACTTTGATAAACGTTCCAACCGATACCGAACCATTAAACGAACTGCAGTTAAAACAAGATTTGGAGAAAGGCGATGTTCAGACAAAGATCGATGCTCTTAAGAAAACCATTCACATGATTTTGAATGGAGAACGCTTGCCTGGACTTTTGATGACTATCATTAGATTTGTATTACCATTACAGGATCATACCATAAAGAAACTGCTTTTGATATTCTGGGAAATTGTACCCAAAACTTCTCCCGATGGAAAATTGCTTCAGGAGATGATTTTAGTTTGCGATGCTTATAGAAAGGATTTGCAGCATCCTAATGAGTTTGTTAGAGGATCGACTTTAAGGTATAAATATATCGATCGCTTTACTTTAGTTGTTGAAATGCTAGACTAATTTAAAAATATGCTTGTATATTTCAGATTCTTGTGCAAATTGAAGGAACCAGAACTTTTGGAGCCTCTGATGCCTGCGATAATTGCGTGTTTAGAGCATAGACACTCTTACGTTAGACGTAATGCAGTCCTGGCTATTTTTACTATTTACAGAAACTTTGAATTTCTTATACCAGATGCTCCAGAATTAATAGCAAAATATTTAGAGGGAGAACAGGATATGTCTTGTAGGAGAAATGCATTCCTAATGTTGTTACATGCTGATCAGAGCAGAGCATTGGCTTATTTAGCAGCTTGTTTGGATCAAGTGCCCAGCTTTGGCGACATATTGCAGTTAGTTATTGTAGAATTAATTTACAAGGTGCATATATTTTAAACAAGCTCCTACTGGTAGTAAAGAATCGAATACCAAATATTAATAAACGTATATTTTTATAGGTTTGTCTTGCAAATCCGTCAGAGAGAGCTCGTTTTATCAGATGCATCTATAGTTTGTTGAATTCACCCAGTGCTGCTGTACGTTATGAAGCAGCTGGTACTTTGGTTACACTCTCCAGTGCTCCTACAGCGATCAAAGCTGCAGCTTCGTGCTACATCGAATTAGTTGTTAAAGAAAGCGATAATAATGTTAAATTGATTGTCTTGGATCGTTTGATTGCAATGAAGGATAGTCCTGTTTACGAGAGGGTCCTTCAAGATTTGGTGATGGATGTACTCAGGGTTCTAGGTAAATTTCTGAAGACGAATAAAACTAGTAACTCAAAATATAAAAAATTGCTTAAGGCTTTAATTCATATTTTAGGTTCTCCAGCATTGGAAGTTAGAACAAAAACATTAGCTCTAGCGATGGATTTGGTAACAACCCGCACAGTCGAGGAAATGGTACAATTACTGAAGAAAGAAGTGCTTAGAACAGCTGGCGGAGAACACGAAGACGCTGGTCGATATCGACAATTACTCGTTAGAACACTACATGCTTGCTCTATCAAATTTTCGGACGTGGCGGCTACAGTAATTCCAGTATTAACGGATTTCTTGTCTGAGAATAACGAGGCTGCTGCTACTGACGTGCTTGTGTTTGTTCGCGAAGCTATTCAGCGATTTGAAAATCTCAGACCACTTATTGTAGAGAAACTGCTTGAGGTATGTATTAAAGAAGTAAAAATTAACAAATTTGTATTCGTTTTCATATCTCAACAAATCAATTTTTAATCTTGCATTTTATGTATAGGTATTTCCACATATACGATCGGTAAGGGTACACAGAGCAGCGTTGTGGATTCTTGGTGAATATGCAACGTCGAAAGAAGACATAGAAGCTGTACTGAGTCGTATACGGGCTGCTTTAGGAGAATTACCATTATTGGAAGCGGAGAATAAACGTCAGTCTGGTGAGAAATCAACAGAAGATGGAAGCGCACAAGTTACACCAGCACAATTGGTCACGTCAGATGGCACATATGCTAGTCAGAGTGCATTTAGTGCGGCGTCCTCACGTAATTATTTATTACCTTTTACCTAACTACTTTAATATGTCGTTGTTTTTTTTACTAGAAAATGATTAAAATATTGATTTTCTTCAACAAAAAAGAAAACATAGTATTTATAACATTTATTTTTCTAATATTACAGGAAAGAAAGAAGAAAAACGCCCAGCATTAGTTCAATACATGATGGAAGGCGACTTCTTCATAGGCGCGTCTTTAGCTACTACCTTAGCTAAATTAGCGCTTCGTTATAAGAGTCTTGAAATAGATGTGCAAAAGAGCAATCGTATACAGGCTGAAGCGATGTTCGTGATGTCCAGCGTAATGCAGTTGGGTCGTTCGGGTCTCCCTGCTAAGGCAATAACGCACGATGATGCAGAACGTTTGTCCTTATGCTTGAGATCATTGGCTTCCCCGACGGCACTTGTGCAGAAAGTTTTCACAGAGGGATGTCGTGAAGCTCTTGGTAGAATGCTGACAGCGAAAGCTGAAGAAGATTCACAGAATCAAAAGGTTTTTTTTCAAATCTATCTAATATATTCTTCCTTAATTCTTATATAGTCTTGGTCTCAGTACTTGTGCAAATAGTACATTCTTTTGTTCACACAGGCAAAGGAGAAGCCAAGTAGCGTTGTTCAAGTAGACGACGCGATACAATTCTTACAGTTGAGCCGTGGTTCGGACTTGGCAGGTGGAGCTGGTGATGTATTCGAACAAAGTTTGAGTGCTGCTGTCGCTGGAAGACCCGGTGCTAGTGGAGATGCGCCAACTCCCAGTGCTTTGAGCAAGGTTACCCAATTAACTGGCTTCTCAGACCCTGTTTATGCAGAAGCTCTTGTTCATGTTAATCAATACGACATTGTACTCGATGTATTAATCGTTAATCAGACAGAAGATACTCTGCAGAATTGTACGTTAGAGCTTGCTACGATGGGTGACTTGAAACTCGTAGAGAGACCACAGCCTATTGTGCTTGCTCCTCGAGACTTTGCAAGCATTAAGGCAAATGTGAAAGTGGCATCCACAGAAAATGGAATAATATTTGGAAATATAGGTAATTAATAAAGATTCGTGCTGCTACTTTGTTTATCAAAGACATATAAGAACGCGAATTCATCGATTTTCAGTCTACGACGTGTCTGGCGCGGGATCTGATAGGAGCGTAGTGGTGTTGAATGACATACATATCGATATCATGGATTATATAGTGCCAGCAACGTGTACCGACTTGGAATTCAGACAAATGTGGGCAGAATTCGAATGGGAGAACAAGGTGTCTGTAAATACGACGTTATCAGACTTGAGGGAGTATCTCGCTCACTTACTAAAATCTACAAATATGCGCTGTCTCACTCCAGAAAAGGTACTGTACTTTAAATTTAATTTTTTTTTTTTTATAAATATGTATATATACATTTTTTTCGTGAAACTTTAATCAACTTTAAAAATAGTGAAAAAAATTGTAGCAAGATTCTTAAAAAAAGGAAACATTTGCATTGTCATTAACGGTGGCAAGCAAAACCTTAAATGTCAAATTTCTAAAAATAGGGGAACAAATATATTTTCAGGCCCTTTCTGGACAGTGTGGTTTCATGGCAGCGAACATGTACGCGAAATCGATATTCGGTGAGGATGCACTGGCGAATATGTCCATCGAGAAGCCACTGAATAAACCAGATGCCCCAGTGGTCGGTCATATCCGTATTAGAGCGAAAAGTCAAGGCATGGCGCTGTCGTTAGGCGACAAAATTAGCTCTACGCAGAAAGGTCCACAAAGCAAAGTGGTGCAAGCCGCTTAGAGAGTATAGTTACTTGACCTATGGTGTATCCTCAGTATTTAAGTTATTTCTAAGGTGAAAAAAAAACGCGTAGCCAATCGAGTTTATTCAAATGAAAGAACACGTAAAATGCCGTCAAAATGGCAGTAGCCATTTGCCTTCGTCAATTCCATGATTCAAAGTTTCTTCGAACGTCACGATGTTGAGGTATATTTTATACGATTAGTGCATTAACTTACGCGTTGTTTTAGTTTTGTTTCCTCGTGTCCAGCGCCATTGAACCACAACACCGATTGTACCCGTAAGCGAAGAAATATATACATATACGATACTTCAGCTGTACAAGCTTGTATTTTATTCCGTTAAATTGACATTTCTAATACATACACATATTTTTTAAGAAATAAAAAATGAATACTTTACACCGTCCTTTCGATGCTGATTTATTATCTCCTCTACGTATGTCGTAAAAATGTATAGTATACAATTTGTCTTTTTAAAATATTGGATTTAACAGTTTACTTTAAAGAATATAAAATGAAATTCAGTTCATATGCCTAAATGAAATTTCATAAGCTATGTTTCTTTTATATTATTTATTCAGTGTTTCACAGCCAGCCACCTCTTCGAGGCGACCTATTATTCGATACTCGTGGTGATCGAGACGTTATGTCCACTAACTTTTCTTTATCTTCTGGCATGTTTAAATTCTTTTTCGGACTCAGCGTAGGTTTCAATCGTGACTTTATCGTTTTGCCATCCGTATGGGCAGATAACGTCGATTCTGTGTCAGTGTTAGGTTTCTTCATGGCCCTCGCTGGTGAACCGTATGAAGACTGGGGATTGTTCATTGCGTGGATGGGGAGTGCTGATGATGTTTCTGTAAACACACGTATTATTAAAAGAAGAAGTTCATTTCTTCAAACGGGATCGTAACTACTAAATTAAAAAAAAATAGAGAAATTAATTTCACAAGTCGCAATAGAAATAGCTTACAGAATTTTTATAAAATTTTCTACTCAAGTACGCACAAAGTTTAATGGAAAAGAAACATGGAGACATAGAATAAAAATATATCCATTTTTTATTTTCATTTACGAACATTATAGATATTTGACTGAATTTCTTTTTATACAGAGGATCAACGAAAATATTTATTTATATTGATTTATTATTATTATTTATTTGAATGAGAAAACAGTTCCCTTGTATTGAAAACATTTATAAGAGCTTTGTGAAAGCAAGTAGTATTGATTAATTCTGCTATGAATGTAGAAATAAAACAGCGCTCTTTAAATAAAAATAACAAAGTTCTTACCAGTCGATTGTTGGTAGGCCGTGGTCGAAGAGTTCGCGGACTTCCTTTTGACGACTCGCGGTGGCGTACGAAGCGATACTGGTGGTGCAATCTTAGCGGGCTTCTCATCGACATAGTCCATTGACATCACGGGCTTCGTCTATAAAGGAAAGCAACAACCCATTACGTGATTCCCCTTAGACGGGATCCAAACATACGCGCGTGCAAGGTACGAACAAATTACAATCTTTGAATTAAGAAACTTGTGTCTTATAATTAATTATATAGCATTTTATAAGTATTTAATTTTTTCATGATATATTAAGAAAAAATTAAGATTTATTAACAACAATCGAAGATTTTTAAAGAACTTCTTCCTTTGAATAATGAATTTGCTATTGGGAAACAATATTTTCCGGAATTTTCATAGGTTTTAGTTCGAGTTTCGATAAAAAGAATTACGGAGATCTTGAATTTGGAGAACTACTACGAATTTTCACAAAATCTTTTTTTTTTGGCTTTATATTCAAAGATTGAGGTTTAATATTTTGCAAGAAAATTTACTATGTTAATTAAATTCCGTGAAATCCAAAATTTTCCATTGGAGGATTAACAGGATTTTGCTCAAAATCGTTTTTGATTCTGATACTCAAATATAAAGAATTATGCTTCATTGAACTTCAGGCTACTAATCTATGAAAGTTTAATTAACTATAATCGACAATTTAGATTATAAATAAATATAGAAACGGATAATAGATATATCGACATAAATAAATATGTAAGTATGTAAATTTTTATTTATCTAAAGTGTTAATACACAAAGTGGTACTTACTTTAACAACAGCTTCATTATGGTTTGCCGTGAGAGTAAAAATCGGAGGTTCGGTCAATGTTTCATGCGGTTTCTCCTCAGTTTCGACTATATCCTGAAGAACATGAAGAATCGTCGAAGCTGTGCTTTCAGGTAGCTCTACAGGCGGCACAGGTGGCAGGGGGCTCTTATTGTTTAATCTCTGTGCTTCTTCCATGGCTGCTTTCAAATGCAATTGATTTTGAAGAGACGCTTTGCTGTTACTTTTACCAATTTGAGAGCTTTTTATCGCGCTGTCCACGACCTGCAATATTTCGTTGATTGTCTCTTCGTTCACAACGAATCAAATGTTAATTTCATTACGTAAGTTCAAACACGATTTTCACCTGGCTCCAACGATGATTAGCAGATTTTAATACGGCTAATTTGGCAATCCTTTTCCATCTGGCGATGTTATCTTCGTCTTCATCCGGTTGCTGAAGAGAATCTGCCTGTTCTTCGGACTCCGTACCCGAGACAGGAACTGCTACCTGGAAGTCCTTCATCAGCTGGCGTTCCCAGACCCTCATCTTTTTGCCTAGAATGGCTGATTGTTCACAGAAGTGACGAGAGTTAGTTAGTTGTAATAATTAATCGAAAAGTTGAACGAGTCATTGAAGTTTTCGGTAAAGATTTTAATCGATCGTAGGAAAAGTACTTTACTTATTTCAATTCTTTTATTCTTATAAATATTCCATATTCATTCGTATTGTTTATAGATATATTCTTATTTTGTATCCTATATTTTTTATTTTTGTTCTAGAATTTCCTTATTTCCTCATTTGTCGTTTTTTTTTGCCAATACTATATTTATTATTCAGCAATTTATCAAACATCAACATTTATCAACATTAAAATTTCTTTTCTCTTAAAATCCTGGAAATCGCTTACTTCTTTCTTTAGTATCAGCCCCAGCGATATCCATGCCGTTCCTCTGTAAGATATCCAGCAATTCGCATCTCCAAGATGACAAATCTGATTTTAATTCGTGAACATCGTCCTCGGTAACAGGATCCATTTCGTGTTCAGAATGCGAGTTCACTACGTATCGCCATATCAGAGCTCTCATCACGGCTGCGTACCTGATCAGAGCAAACAAGAACGTGGTAAAATTCATAAAACGCCATGGTAGATATGGTAACTCTTAGCATACTAAGAACTCTTTCATCCAGGAGGATTATTAAAAGACTATAGCCTCATATTTAATATCTAACGAGGAACAATATCTTCTAGAACGTAGTATTTCGCTATTTTTCTAAATCTTGATAAATTATTCTCTTTCAATTTCGCCGAAAGCAAAACTTTATGTCGATTGTCAGAAACTGAAATATCAACTGAAATTGAACTATGAATTTTTCAAATAACCCACTGTATAGCTTGTAAGTCTTAGTATTATTATCAATTTGTATTATGCGATGAATTATTGTTAAAGCTCGATTATTACTTAGACTCGTGTGTCCGCTTGCGATCGCTCGTTTCTCTTTCGAATTTCTTCTTCTGCAGGCCGCACAGTCTGAAGAGTAATTTCGGTGGCGGAAGAATATTGAACGGAGGCGGAAGCGTGTCGCCATCCTCGAAGTAGCTCATCCATAGCTTCGTCCGCGCGAACTTCCACTCCTTGTCAGCGCGTTCCTGTTTACATGGGATTTTACGAATCGAAATTCTCTCGTTCTTTCATGTTATGAAAAGTGATTTACCTCGATGACAGCGTAGCTGTTGCTCATCATGGCGATGAGAAGATTCAGCAGAACGATCACGTTGATCACAGAATATGAACCAAACATCAACAGGCCCCAGAATCGAGTGTAAGTCTTGATTCCTCAAAACAGAAATCGACATAACGAAACCAAGAGCTTTTTTTAATGCATATTAATCAAAATTGAGAAATATTATTTTACGAATTTATGATTTATTAAAAAAAGAAAACGATAAGATAGATTTATGGCATAAAAGTTGGATGATTCTCTCGGTTTACCTGCGAGTTCGAAGCTTTCTATGCCAATTCCTCCGAAACTAGCCCAGAATAAACTCTGGCACGATTCGAACAGATTGCTGAATCTATCGAAGAATATTATAAAAAGGGTAATTGTTGGATTGAATTGAGAAATCGGAGAAAATAATTTTTAATAAATGATTGTTGATTACGATGCACGAATACTAGCCTTCTCCATCTTAAACAGGACTCGCTGGTAGGATCCCAAGATGGGTCCGCGATGTTATCGTAGCATTTCCGTCTCTCCAATTCCGTGAAGTACCAAAGCAGTTGGTTTAGGCCACAAGCAAAGGCGAAAAGTACCAACGTGTAGATGAAGAAGAACTTTACGATGTCTATCACCATTCTACCTAAGGATATCTGGAAGAAAACGTATTTTCCAACGATGATACTGTAGATCAAGAACGATGGAGCTCTTTACAAAAAATCAGAATTGGAAACAAAAAGAGAACTCTATTGAGATTTTCGTTCGATCGTAGAAGTTTGTAATTTTGTCATTTTAGAAAATTTTCAGAATTTTTCCTTAACATTTTATTCATTTTACGTACCAATCCTTTTATTCGTCTTTCTTTCAAATATTTCTGTTTCCTCTATCTATTTTATATATTTCCTTCTTAGCATTGTTTTTTCCAATTTTTAATCGATCTTTTTAATTAAAAAGGTTCACGATATCGGGAATAACAAGTACCTGAAGAGGCCCCAAATGAGGATTGATACTGAACAAATGAATCAGTTTCAAAGCGCTGAAGATGTTGGCGGCTGCGAACAAACCCTCCGCTATTAGCTGAGGATCGAAATCGCTCCATGTTTCTCTCGGGACCAAAGCTGCCATAGGGTTCTGATTAATCTCCGCTCTTTGTTGAAGGTACGCGGCAGTTCTAAGAACCACAGTTGCGATGTAGAGAAAGTTTTTGGTGAAGTCGATGAAATTCCACATGTCTCGTAAATATGCCTTCAAGCCATCCACATAGGCCTTGAAATTTGTAGCGTATTAATTTGTTGTTATTCGATTCTACGACATAATGTGTTAAATCTACTATTCCAAAGTAAACTCGGTTTTATGCATGTACATTAGTTTCATACGAGATCTTCGTATTCCTTTCTTTAGGATTTTACAACTATTTCTACATCTCTTAACGAAGCTTGGCAGTATTTGACAATTCCTAACACGAACGAATTCTTTGCATTTTCGAGCTTATAATTCTATAGAATTCCACGGAATTAAAAACTAAGATGGTTAATAAAGTGTAGCTGTGGCATAATTTCCTCTGGACAGAGATTTTTCAAAGATTCCAAGATCATCTCCAATTTGTTAAACAACGTACATTCGATACATTTTATCATCGATAGAATGTATTATACTTCTTTGATGCAGTATATATTTTTTTTATATGAACTCGAAGGCCTATAGTGTAGTGTGATAAACGAAATAGAGAAAAAAGTAGAAAGTACCTCTCTCATTTCTTGCCAAATAAATCCAAGAACATAGAGAACAACTACACCCTCTAGAAACGAAGGGGCTGCGCCCCTTTGTCTCGCTAGTTCCATCTCGATATCCCTTTTTGCCTTCTCGCTGCCGAATATCTTTACTATTTCCACTTCTGCGCGTTGCGACACCAGCATCAAAATAACTAAACAACGATTATTCATCGTCTAACTCGATCGTTTCATTCCAACAATTATTAATATCATCGAGACTTACATAGAAAGAACACGTACGAGGCAGCGTGAACGAGAAATTTGACGAATGGCTTTCGCATCATTTGACCAGTTTTCGAATTTGGCGCTAGTAAGTACATTATAGAGTAGAATGGAAACATGAGGGCAGTTTTTGCAAGAACGCCGCACTTTTGCCACGTGGTCATACGCCGAAAGCCAGGTAGACCGTCGTACCTTCGATCGACGAATAAGAAGAAGATAATTTAATTTAGAATTAATATTCTGCTCACACTCTTATGCAATTATTAAGATAATTTAATAGTTAACTACTCTCGTAAAAATATTTAATAGATAGTCTGTCGTGTTATTTAATAATTAGCTATTAATATTGTAAATTATTTTAGCGTACAGAATGCATATGATACGTAAAAATATGTAAAATACTCAAAATATAGTATGTGCTGTAATATTTAGTGATCGAAATAAGTCTTTGGTTAGATTCTGCTTCTTTATGGGACCAATAATATAAATTTGTATAAACATCCACAGTCTATCCATTGTATACAGTTAGTTATTTTAACGAACCACTGACTATTCTACAATTTGTGCCATAAGGAAACGAAAAATCTGTTAAGTAACTGATTTTTAGGAAACTGAACTTTGCCCTAACTCTAAAGCTTAATTCAGTGACCTTCTCGAGGAACAAGTATCTTTATTATCTTTACTATTCCAAGATTCTTTTGCTCTAGTTGAAAAATTCTAATTAAAATAAAGCTGTAACGTTAAGAGAGATCTCCGAATATCCCTCTTAGTACGATCTCGTCATCTTAATGTCCTCTCCCTTCTCTGCTTCTTCTTTAATTTCCACCTCGCAAAATGATTTTTATGAATCGTGTTTTAATATCAGAAATCGGTTTTAATATCAGTAAAACGTAACAAGAAGGTCTGATAGTTACAGTGTAATTGAGTTCATTGTTAATGTAATATACGAAATAAAGTTTGCAAACAGCCAGTGGCAATTTTACGCGGATAATTCAGGAGCAGAAAATCGAGGGAACTTCGTAACGAACTCACCAGATCGCCGCCAACAGTTGCTGCACGTGGGAATGAGCGACGAAAGTTTTCTGCTTATATTGTATGGCCAATTCTAATCTAGCCAGCTGCTTCCTGGTGACCAAGTTCTCCTCATCCTCAGGATCATAGTTGAGGATCGTGTGCAATTCCGTGGTAGTTCGCACTTGTTGCAGCAGATCAACGGCGAATCTAATTGAAATGAAATCGACGAAAGCTTTCAAGGATATTTCCAGATCTCCAAGGTTTACATATTAGAAAGGACAATTTGTAATTTCAAGAGAAATAGCCATATTTTTTACATTTACTTTTTTATAACTGCAACAGTTCTATATTGCGTTATTTTTTAAAATATAGCTTTACGTCTTTGAAGAATATACGATGCAACGTGTTTGCTAACGCGTTGTAGAAAATTAAAAATTTAAATTTATTCACGCGACAAAATGAGATATCGATGGACAAGGTAATAACTAAATGAAAGAGAATGAAATTTACCTCTCCACCTGTCGTCGAAGCTTCAGATATTCGCCCCTACTTTCCGGTTCGGCAATCGTCAGTTCGCGAAGTTCCCAGCTTAATTGAAAAGCTGTTAGCAATGGATCTGGCGAGCTGAGCGCTATTAAGCTTGGACTTGCCAATGCTTTGTACTCGGAAATCCTCGTGGACGAAAGTCTCAGTGGGTCGCCTGGCATAAAAACGAATGATAATGTCAGGGTAATATACCTGTTTTAAATCAGATTCGAGTTTCTAGATTTATATAACTTTGACATTTTTATAATAGCATTTCGAAAATTGTTAAGTAATCCTTTTACTTTCTTCTTTTTGAACCCTTAATTGCTACACTGCAATGGAAATACGTTCGTAACAATGGAACTTAACTTGATCGAAGATTATCTATACGCTTGACGTCATACGCTACTCGAGAACGAATTATGACAATGTTTATGACGGCTAAATTCGTTTAGAGAAACCTTTGGAAAAATTTATTCTTTTTCTCGTTCGGAGAAGTTGCACGAAAACATGAAAAATAAATCGCGTGACCAATGGAAAGAAATCGGCAATCAACAATTAGACGAAGAGTTTAATTGTAACAACTGTAGCGTTGTTTAACGATGGCTTATATTTCAACTTACGGTACTTTTATCGAAATCTTCTTTTTTTGATAGAAAAAAGACGTAGAAGTCTTTAAAGAAAGACGAACCTTTATTATTATTTATTTGGGAATTTATTTTATAGGATTTCTCGAGTGTTTTACCTGTGGTCGATCGCAGACAATCGGCACATCCACATTTAATGTCGTGTGGCATGGGCAAAGTGGCACCGCGATCCAGCAGCAACTTCAAAATCTCGTAGTTGTTCCGCTGCGCGGCCAAAATCAGAGGCGTGATTTCTGGCGGATATCTCGCGGATGCTGGATCGATCTTCTGCCAACTATGGATCACATCTTTCGTCGCTACAAATGCAGATCGCATGGATATTTTATAAGAAACGTCAGGTTCGATCGTTTGCTATTTTCTCAATTGTCCACGTGTTTCGTCGAATTAAAAGAGTCGATAGCAGGATGGAACATCGATCACTCACAGTTTTCCTCGGCCAATAAATTAGCAGTCAGCAATTCTTCGTGCTCTAGCAGCAACTCTACAGCTTCCACAAATTCTTGATCGATCGCTCGGAGAAGAGCATCCTTCGTCTCCACGCCCATTACCACCAACAATTCAACCATTTCCAAATTCTCTGAATCAATGGACAATGACAAAGCGCCGCGTCCCAAACTATCCACGCAATTTATGTCCAGTGACTTGCCCTAAGATTTAAATACGTTGTACTCTTTTCACGAAATAGAAGTCGATTAAGAAAAAGCATCGATTGGAACAAAGACTCACGTTCACACTACCCTTATTGGCAAATTGAATGAATCTTTTGACGTTAACTAGATCGCCCCGTTCCACTGCTAATAGATATTTCTTTTCTTCGATGTTCAAAGGCCTTGGAAGATGAACTACGTAGCTTTCCATCTCGTTTGGAGGAGCTTCTACCTCTTTCTCTGTCCTCTCGAAGCCCATTTTCGACTACGGCTTTAAAGACAATTTTCGAAGTTCTATAAGACGAAGAAAATCTTTTATAACACGAGTCTTCAAGCGACAAATATTTTTTACATCCGCTATTGTTGTATTTTAATTAATAGGGGAATTAGATCTTAGGGAAAAGAAGAGATTTATGATATTCGACTTCTTTTACCCCCAATCGCAACGCACGAATAATGCGAGCTATCTAAGAACCGAATTTCCACCGATTTTCCAATGCACACCAATCTCCACTAACACGTTTTCGTCGAACCAAAACTCTGGAAACAGCTACAACTCTATCCTTTAATTTATTCACCTCCAATCTTGCGACGATTCCACTTCAAATCCACGAACCTTCGCCCCTTGTTCTTTGTTAAAAAATCTCTCGATTAGGTTTTCCAATTTCTGCACCACACTGTCACAAAGTAGTACGAAATTTTCCACGAAATTTCTTTGTACGGAGAATCAACAACGCTCAACGATTGAAAGAATCATCGATGTATTCAAAAAGAGTCAGATTCGTGAAGAAAGTTTTGTGAGCGAACGACACTGGCGACAGTCGATTTCGCTTATATAGGGGATGATGGAAATCGAATTACGAGTATTAACCGAGACCCTGTTTATTTGCCTAGTCGCTTAAGGCGGTGTACACACGCGGACTAATTTGCTTATCGATATCTCGTTAGCCACACGATGGCTTGTCAGAGGGTGCTCTCGAACAGTGTCATCTCTGACAGTTATGCTGTGTTTATGGACAGACTTTTGCATATAAAATAATAATAATTATAGTTACTAAATAATTAATAAGCAATAATTAACGAATAATTAGTAATACCGTATGCAATAATAACTGCAACAATTATTATTTTATATGAAAGATTCACAGGAAAAGGGGAAATGATAAGTTTTTACATTTCTCGATAAAAGAAAATTTATTTTTCCATATATTGGGTATATTCCACATATATTCCACAGAACATGCGAGATCCGCTTCTTGAGCTAAAAACAATGAAAAATGTTCGTATAAACACGCTCTGGCTGTCTTTGTCTATGAGGTACAAAAATTTTGTAAATGGAACAACACCTATTGAAAATGTTGGGATATCAAGGTTCAGCATAGAACAAGCTTTGCAACACATTCGGCAAACACCAGGAACCATTCAGAGTGTAACTGGATCCATGACAGGACGTCTATAGGCTTGGAAATGGAAGGTGGTCGTTTTGAGCATCTTCTGCGAAAGTAATTAGGTAACATGAAATCAGAAGAGAAAATTCGCTACGTCTTATAAACGAAGACAGATAGGACATATGTTTTTAGATGTACAATCAGCTCTGGATGTGGACCCCACGTATTTCATTACATTCTGTGTAATGTCGCAACTTCATATTTTCTCATAGATATCGTATCAAAGTAAAACGTTTTATTCTTTATTTTATTCTGCATCGTCTTCAATTTTTACTTAGAATTCTAAGTAATATATGGTACATAAATCTGTAAGAAAATGTGATAAAGGAAAAAGGAACAGAGGAATCTTAGAAGACTTCATATAAAATGTTGGAAATTTATTAAAAAATTCTCGAGATAAATATGCGATGGATATATTTTTTTATTTCCATGCCTTGTGTGGCTTAGATATTAAGGGATGAAGTATAAAGCATCGTTAGAGTTATACGATCGGATTACTATCCAAAAAAAATGTAATTCTTTAGACGCGTTTTAGCGTCCTCCGTCGTTGTAGTCCTGCAACACGATCATCCTTGATATTCTTTTCACAGGATCTTTTTACGCGGATTGTTTGCTCGAATAGCCCCTAAAAGTTACGATACCCTTAACTCGCGAATCTTTCGAATCGATTTGTCCACCGCCGAGCATCTACTGCTCGATGAAACTTAGCACGCGATGAAAGAGAAATTGCAATATTTCAATGAAAGTATTTCTCGATGATCGACGAAATAAATAAATACGTCTCTATACGTATAATATTTACTTGACAAAAGCGATTTGAACGTCAGATTTTCTAGGAACTTCAAATGGTCAAAATTCTCCTTCCTTTCCTTTCGTTCTCAAAGTCTTCTTAAGTTCAGTTTCTTCAATCGCACCCATAAAGATATACATTTGTGTGCAAATTCATAGTCTATCGATTAATTAATACGCGTCTTACGATATCCTCGCCAGACGTCATCCAAATCTTCGCGACATCTTGGAAGAAAGTAGCTCAAAGCAGCGACGAAACACTCAAACGGCATTAAAGGCCGATTATCCGCGCAACCTGGCTAGTTACAAATTGCGAAATTCATTAAACTGCACTATTAAAGAGTTTCCTCTTATGGCTTAGCAGGTCGCCAGATATCAGAGGAACGAGGGATGAAAAAGAGCCAGCCAGCTCTTTTTAGCTCGGTTTGCGCTGCGGCTTCATCCACTTTTCCCCTCGTTCCAGTCGATGTTTGCTCGATGGCTAGCGTCCACGAGGGTGTTCAACGATCGTAGATCCAACGCAGATTATCCATCGGCTTCCGTTTATATGCTTCTTTCCACTTCGATCTCGTTGTTTCGAAGAACTTTCTATTGACTATCGAAGAGCTGTTCCGTTACGGATAGTTGAATATCAACGGGTATTTCGTCGAGAATATTCATTTTTGTTTCACGAGGTGATTTCTTGGGAATTTTCTACCGTAGTTGTCTTTTAGTTCTTGTCGTTACTTCGCGTTGCGGTATTAGTTTTCTCATGTTTTTCTCATTATTTTCTCATGTCTTTTCGTGTTTTCAAAACTAATATTTACCGTTGTTTGACGAGGTAATTCTTTTAGAATATTTCGGTGGAATATTTTACAATTGTAGTTGTTATTTAAGGTGAAATTATTACACAGTTATTAGTCTTTTAGTTATTATCTCTTTTAGACTTTTGACTCGAAGTACTTCGAAATTATGTTATAACGTTCAAGATCTTGTTTTATTTTACGATTTTCTCGTAGTGTTCGGAATTTAATTTTCCATCGGGTTCTTTTTATTCTGAAAAAATAGAGAAGCGATAACAAAGATATTTTTGAACTGCGCGTCCCTTGACTATCTCCTTTAATTTTGTACGTAGTATACTTCGAGATTTCTGTCACATTTGACATTTGACGTCAGAGCTATCTAGCTTATCCGCGTTTTGTAGCTTTTCAGAATATTAGTTTCAACCTGAAATTTCGCCCTTAATATTAGTTATTATTAGCAGAATATTAGTTTCGCCCTTCAATCTTAATTTCAATTTCTTATCGTAATTTGTAGCGTTTTATTTACAGTGGCAGATTTGGCAATGAAACGTAACGTGTTAAGCAACTATTATTCTTAGGTTGTTCAGTTTAAAAAGAAGCTTGCAACTGAAGTTGTAAAGTTATTCGAGGATTGTTGAACGCAAGGAAAATAAATGGACCAGCGGTGCTGACTCAAGAAAACTATGAAATGTCAACAGCTTGGGAACTCGTTTCTCAGGTGCAAAAATAACACGCTAGTACGAGAAGAGAAAGACTTAGAGTTTATGGCGTTCCGTGAAAACACTCTGGTAATACTTTATACACGTGCTACGTTGCGTTAACTAAAAGAACGTCATTTCTTATTTACGTCAATTGACAATGATCGTACAAATCATAAGACATCGTTTTCTTCCACTCGTGAAAAGCTTTTTTTTTATCATTTCGTAATTTAATTTTGTTTAATCACGTCAATAACACACTTTTCTTTTTAAACACCATGCTACATGACGTATAAATGATTACTGTATTGATTCATATCAATGGTGATATCGATAATTTTTATTCAAAAATATCGACAAACATTTTTAAGACAAAAACAGATATATGTGTAAAATGATAATACGAAAAAGTTTTATGGTTTGTTCGTGAAAAAATCCTAAAGAGATCTAAGAAGTCCTTGATCATTTTTTCTTAAACTCTTGTACCTCTTTTCAGATATTATTCATTCGTTCCTTCGTTTTCAGGATGCATTCGAGCTTTCAAGTTCGAACTTTTCGCGTGACTTTGCGGAGGTTTTAGTTCCTTGCCCGCGTGTATTTACGTCCGTTCCATTTTTCTGAAACTCGAAGCGTGACTACTATACTTTGGCTGCTAACGAAATTCATAACTTCGTTACGTCGTGACCTATAACACGAGATATATAAAAACAAGAATACAATATAGTAAAATACGATATGCACGCACAGATAAAAATAACAAAATTCAGAAACATTTAAATTCCAATACTCCAGCAAAGTATTAAACAACCCGTGTTGTCTTATCGATAGACTCAGGATATTTCTGCGTTTATGACAAAAAAGCACAGAGTATTCGCTTTAATATTTGCTGCGTGACACACATCTTTGTCATTGTTTAATTGCATCGTTTCGTTTGATCACGTGGCCACAATAATTTTTGTATAAAATTCGTAAAATAGAAATTATTATACAAAGCCGATATAAAAACGAGTTTGCATAAAAGTTCGCAATCTACGTATCGATCGTGTCAAAGAATAGAAAACGATAGGAAAGACAGTGTACGAAAAAATAAATAAACGCGTGGATCCTTTCGAATATCGCAAAGAAACTCTCCGATCTTCTTTCAACAACTATCTATAAGGGAAAGCGTTTGGGATTGTTAAAAGAATATCCATGTCGATGAACCTTCTGAATAGACACGGCGGATAAACGATCGCGTTTAACAAGCAATCGATGTCAAGCGATGGGAAATGTATCGTCGAGCGAATCGAGTGAAAGCATCTTTTTTCATCGTTCATTCGGAAACGAACTTTCTTCGTGTCGGAAAAACGCGATCATCGGACACAGAGCGGGAAGGAAAATAACGCGAGAGAGGAACTACGCCTCGAATAAATCTGTCGATCGAGTCCAAGCGATCTTCAGTGTTTGCTTTCGTTCCCATCGTTAGATAACGAGACTTCTCTTGCGTCATTAATTTACATATTTGCTTTTAAAGTTTACGATTCTTCTTTACTTTTTGTATATTTCTATACACGATGGCAATACGTTGTGAGATATTACATTTTGCAAGATTCATTCTAGTTTTGGTAATTGGTTCGATTCTGATTGGTAATTCGTTTGGTGATGAGAAGATCGAGAATGATCCTGTGAACTTCCGGCACGTGAAGGATCTCGAGGTAGCTGCTAGTGAACACGAAGGCAAGTAATAGTTTTCGAGAAGTCTGTTCGTAGTTGCTTCGATATTTGAATCGTTATTTTGTTTAGAAAATGGTAAATACGTTTATATACATACTTTTCGAAGTAGCTGGCTTAATTACTTTTTTAAGGTACGTTAAATCATCGTCTGAG